GTTAGTGTATATACACTGCCAGGAGTGTTAGTGTATATACACTGCCAGGAGTGTTAGTGTATATACACTGCCTAGGAGTGTTAGTGTATATACACTGCCAGAGTGTTAGTGTATATAACACTGCCAGGAGTGTTAGTGTATATACACTGCCAGGAGTGTTAGTGTATATACACTGCCAGGAGTGTTTAGTGTAATACACTGCCAGGAGTGTTAGTGTATATACACTGCCAGGAGTGTTAGTGTATATACACTGCCAGGAGTGTTAGTGTATATACACTGCCAGGAGTGTAGTGTATATACACTGCCAGGTAGTGTATATACACTGCCAGATGTATGTATATACACTGCCAGGAGTGTTAGTGTATATACACTGCCAGGAGTGTTAGTGTATATACACTGCCAGGAGTGTTAGTGTATATACACTGCCTGGAGTGTTAGTGTATATACACTGCCGGAGTGTTAGTGTATATACACTGCCAGGAGTGTTAGTGTATATCACTGCCAGGAGTGTTAGTGTATATACACTGCCAGGAGTGTTAGTGTATATACACTGCCAGGAGTGTTAGTGTATATACACTGCCAGGATGTTAGTGTATATACACTGCCAGGAGTGTTAGTGTATATACACTGCCAGGAGTGTTAGTGTATATACACTGCCAGGAGTGTTAGTGTATATACACTGCCAGGAGTGTTAGTGTATATACACTGCCAGGAGTGTTAGTGTATATACACTGCCAGGAGTGTTAGTGTATATACACTGCCAGGAGTGTTAGTGTATATACACTGCCAGGAGTGTTAGTGTATATACACTGCCAGGAGTGTTAGTGTATATACACTGCCAGGAGTGTTAGTGTATATACACTGCCAGGAGTGTTAGTGTATATACACTGCCAGGAGTGTTAGTGTATATACACTGCCAGGAGTGTTAGTGTAATATACACTGCCAGGAGTGTTAGTGTATATACACTGCCAGGAGTGTTAGTGTATATACACTGCCAGGAGTGTTAGTGTATATACACTGCCAGGAGTGTTAGTGTATATACACTGCCAGGAGTGTTAGTGTATATACACTGCCAGGAGTGTTAGTGTATATACACTGCCAGGAGTGTTAGTGTATATACACTGCCAGGAGTGTTAGTGTATATACACTGCCAGGAGTGTTAGTGTATATAAAACTGCCAGGAGTGTTAGTGTATATACACTGCCAGAGTGTTAGTGTATAATACACTGCCAGGAGTGTTAGTGTATATACACTGCCAGGGGTGTTAGTGTATATTACACTGCCAGGGGTGTTATAGTGTATATACACTGCCAGGAGTGTTAGTGTATATACACTGCCAGGAGTGTTAGTGTATATACACTGCCAGAGTGTTAAGTGTATATACACTGCCAGGAGTGTTAGTGTATATACACTGCCAGGAGTGTTAGTGTATATACACTGCCAGGAGTGTTAGTGTATATACACTGCCAGGAGTGTTAGTGTATATACACTGCCAGGAGTGTTAGTGTATATACACTGCCAGGAGTGTAGTGTATATACACTGCCAGGAGTGTTAGTGTATATACACTGCCAGGAGTGTTAGTGTATATACACTGCCAGGAGTGTTAGTGTATATACACTGCCAGGAGTGTTAGTGTATATACACTGCCAGGAGTGTTAGTGTATATACACTGCCAGGAGTGTTAGTGTATATACACTGCCAGGAGTGTAGTGTATATACACTGCCAGGAGTGTTAGTGTATATACACTGCCAGGAGTGTTAGTGTATATACACTGCCAGGAGTGTTAGTGTATATACACTGCCAGGAGTGTTAGTGTATATACACTGCCAGGAGTGTTAGTGTATATACACTGCCAGGAGTGTTAGTGTATATACACTGCCAGGAGTGTAGTGTATATACACTGCCAGGAGTGTTAGTGTATATACACTGCCAGGAGTGTTAGTGTATATACACTGCCAGGAGTGTTAGTGTATATACACTGCCAGGAGTGTTAGTGTATATACACTGCCAGGAGTGTTAGTGTAAATACACTGCCAGGAGTGTTAGTGTATATACACTGCCAGGAGTGTTAGTGTATATACACTGCCAGGAGTGTTAGTGTATATACACTGCCAGGAGTGTTAGTGTATATACACTGCCAGGAGTGTTTAGTGTATATACACTGCCAGGAGTGTTAGTGTATATACACTGCCAGGAGTGTTAGTGTATATACACTGCCAGGAGTGTTAGTGTATATACACTGCCGGAGTGTTAGTGTATA